GTTTAGCGACGCTGACTGTGATATCAAAGGGCTCGGGTTTGAATACCGGAGAAGGCATGGATCTTTGTAAATATATAGTGTCTGTGCAGCATGGGGACACTCTAAACATGCGGAGAGCCGAAAGTCCTCTCGAGAGGTCAGAGGTAGGGGAAGCGGGGGAGAGACTCTCGGAACAATCCCCCTGGGGTTTTCTATATCAAAATGGGGGGGGGGGCGGAAATGAGAAAAGTCGTACTGTCACCTATATGGCGCTCAAGGCTCTTGCCAATGACAGGCGCGATCTTGCTGTCCATGCCACGATGAATTTCGTGGGCTTGTTCTCATGTTACTATCAGACAAGTGAGATAAGTCACAATAACAAAATTTTCTGATTTTGTTGTGTATGTTGCGTAAGGGCAAAGAAATCAATGCTTAATAATAAAGCTAAATTGATTTAAAAAAACAAGCAATTTTATCAGTTAGTCATAGCTAAGCCTTCAATGTGAGATCAGTTAGAATTGTTGTATGGGGCCTGCGTCTATTCATTATTTTCAGCAAGTAATTTTAGTGATTTTGCCTATAGAGTTGTTGTTTTCCATGATGCACTTTCAATGCAAGTTGTATACTATCGATACTATCGTCGATAATAGAGCAATCTTTGTAACTGTCTACTATTATAATGAATTAAAAACTGTATTTAAAATTGAATATAAAGGGGAAATATGGTGAAATGTTTTTTACTGTTTGCGACTTTTAACCGCCAAACCATTCTTGAAACGTAGAAATACACAAGTAACATCTTTATTTATAAGCTGTTGTGTGCTCATGCAATTTTATAATAAATAATATTCAAAGAAAATTGTAATATAAAAATAATTTTTGATAGATTAATAATGCAAAACTAATTTCAAAATTAATAAAAATAAAAGAAAATCTGGATGCTTTCAGATTTTATATTATGCCCAAGAGAGCGTTTTTTTTAACGTTTTGTGTGTTACCTTTATATATTAAATATCATGTTCTTCTCACTTAAATCATAAAATTCGATTCAACAGCAATATCACAAAACAATTTTAAAAGAGCATATGTTTAGAATTTCTGATACACAGTCTCGCACGCTGGAGAATTTTTTTTGTTTTGTTTTTTTGTACAGTATTGCCATTGCTGGCTTTGAAATCGTTGAGTTTGTTAATCAAAAATTCGTTAAAGTTTTACCGCATATGGAATAGATAATAAAACAAATACCAAATTCCAAATCTGGGTTTCCACATGCCCATATTCGAGTGGAGGACTACATTATTCAAAATTTGATGTCTCTAGATACTGGTGTTTTTTCACAGTGCGAGAAACATACATACATTCACGAAGATACTTCATTATTTAATTTCTTTAAAGGTAATGCAGGGCTCTAATATTTGGTGGCAACAATTTGAAAAGTGATAGGCTGTGAGCCAACGCAAATTGCCAAGAGGAAATTAATAGCTCCTCTGGAAAAATTGCCTCTTTTGTGCTAATAATGAGTAATTATATGGTGCTTTCAACACGCTATATATGACTTATGATTTGTGGCAAACCTAGCGGTAATGCTTCAAACGAAATGCAAGTTTATTCTACTGACGAGAAAAAATGTTTACTGACTTACTGTTGGGGACAATGTTTTCCCAGTTTTTCAAGTGTGTGTCTCATTTCATCATAAAATTCGATTCAACAGCAATATCACAAAACAATTTTAAAAGAGCATATGTTTAGAATTTCTGATACACAGTCTCGCACGCTGGAGAATTTTTTTTTGTTTTGTTTTTTTGTACAGTGTTGCCATTGCTGGCTTTGAAATTGTTGAGTTTGTTAATCAAAAATTCGTTAAAGTTTTACCGCATATGGAATAGATAATAAAACAAATACCAAATTCCAAATCTGGGTTTTCACATGCCCATATTCGAGTGGAGGACTACATTATTCAAAATTTGATGTCTCTAGATACTGGTGTTTTTTCACAGTGCGAGAAACATACATACATTCACGCAGATACTTCATTATTTAATTTCTTTAAAGGTAATGCAGGGCTCTAATATTTGGTGGCAACAATTTGAAAAGTGATAGGCTGTGAGCCAACGCAAATTGCCAAAACGAAATTAACAGCTCCTCTGGAAAAATTGCCTCTTTTGTGCTAATAATGAGTAATTATATGGTGCTTTCAACACGCTATATATGACTTATGATTTGTGGCAAACCTAGCGGTAATGCTTCAAACGAAATGCAAGTTTATTCTACTGACGAGATTCTACTGACGAGTTTATTCTACTGACGAGAAAAAAAATGTTTACTGACTTACTGTTGGGGACAATGTTTTCCGAGTTTTTCAAGTGTGTGTCTCATTTCGAATTTACAGAAATAATGGTATTGTTCAGTTCATTGGCATTTTAGTTAATTCAGAAATCTATTTGTTTTGTTATCAAGTAAATAGTACATGTAATAACTTTATTAATAATATTTTTTCTCAACCATTATAAAATTATAAAATAGGATAATTCCTAATTATTCTGAGGTTGACATTTATGTCATTCCTAACTGTCTATAATGACCTTCTCATCTCATGGATGGCAGATTCTAATTTGCTTTTTAATGGGCAGTATATAAAGTTGCTTAGCAACACCGTCTTGTATCATGTTAACGTAGACTAAGCAAAATGATAATAGAACTGTCAAAAATATATATTAGTTTAATGGTTGAGACTCAGTGATAACTGTGAACAAAATAGCATTCATACCTTTGAGGAGATTCATTACAGATCCCGACATCGTGCCGTATGTGAGTCTGTGGCTTTATCTCTCGCTCCAATAGAAAAAGCACTTCGGGTATAATGAAAGAATGAAAGCTCTGAAAATGATCTTTTTGCAGGAAGATGCTCCAAACTATAGTATTCTGCAGTGCGAACGAGAGGCGTTTCATATGATAATGAAAATGCTAATTGTGGATTGCGTGTGTATTTGGTTATATGAAGTGTAGTGAAGAAACGATCAAAGTAATAAATAATTCGCTTCTGACCAAATGCATATACAAATGTAAATACAGTATACCTAGCAAAAGCACTTTTCCCTGCAACAACAGTTTATTTTATATTGATATGTATAACTGACTGATAGGTAATCGATCACGTAAGTAACGCGCAAGTTATTTGATGATTTTATTTCAAAGCGTAGATTACAAATGCGGCGAAGCGTTGAAGTTACTTCATTGTTTTTTCGAATTAGATTTGCACAAAGTGCATGAATAAGAATATTATGCATTGGATCAATAAACAGAAAATTGCAAACGATTCTGCTAATTGACAAATACACCATATTAAAAAATTACTAATTGATGCAAATTAACATTTGAAAACAAGTATACATATATATATATATATATATATATATAATGTTGTATGAACTTAAATCCATTTAGTGCGAATACAAGTTATTATTACTTGCGCAATTGCTGCAAAGTTAGTTAATAATAATTTATTTCCTAAACAGTATTGATTAATTGATTATATTATCTCCTAAGTTTAATTAAAGTAGAATTATTTTAAAAGTGTGCATCCATACTGGTAAGTTATATTTTGAAAGATGTTTTGAAGTAATTTGAAAGCAAAATGTTAATAATGTTTTAACGGGGACTGGAGTTAAATCATCACGAAGAATAATATTACAATTGTAAAAGTAAAAATTAAAACATGTAATTATTGTCATTGATCGGAAATTAGTTGACTTTTCAAGGGGAACAAACCAACTCCCGTTCAATGATCAATAATTGATAAAAATACGTAAATATGAAAGTGTTTCGTCTTTACTCGAGTTATAAGTTAAAGCCAAACCGGCAATTCTAGTCAGGCCAAATATTTCCGCGAATAGAAGGGATTGTTACTCAAAGAACTGATTCTCATGAAGCATTTTAGTCAATTCAATTTGGAGTAAAAATCAATTACTGTAGAGAAATCTTGTAAAACTCGAGTAATCGTCCCCGACACTATTCATCTTTATGTATTTGAGTACTATATTATTTGTAGAAATTAAACATTGGAAATTGTCATTATGAAATCGAAATCAAAGTAAAGTTGAAATAAACATAGAAGATTATAAAAAAGATAAATAATGCAAACTTTGCAAAAACAAATCAAAGAGAACATAAAATAAATATAAAAATAATATAAAAATAAAATAGAAAATAATATAAATAATCCGGATTCGGGTCCCGGCGAGGGCATTGCTATTTTTCACGTCTCAAAATAGCCTAATGACTCTACAACGCTTTGTGGTATCACTGTTGAGATACAAATTACAAACTTGGAAAAAAATTCTAATTTTGCTTTTTTAAATTTTTTTTAATTTAATTTTTTTTAACATCATCCATTGCAGCACTGCTAACCGAAAAATGCAATTAAAATAATTATGTTTACTTAGTTCATATATAAAGATATAGGATCATATAATAGGCATAAATATTAAATAAGTATGATTTATATAAATTATTCAAGCTAAAAAAATAAAATTACTATTGAAACCAATTACTTCTTTTGCAATGAATTCTAAGTATGATTCACACTTAGCGTTCTTTTTCTACTGAAGCTTTATGGGAAGTAGAATTATATCTGTACTTAGTTAAATGTATGGAAAACATAACCTTTTTTCATTAAAATACTTCACATGGTTTCATATATAGCACTGCTGGTGTTTTTTGCATATAGTTTAATCAGCACAGACTTTTCACTTTGGGATTAAAAGTCGTGTTTTCACTTGAGTAAACATAGTTGTAGAAAAAATTGATGTGTCTACTAAATTATACCCCTAGCTAACTTACGTCGGAAAAAAAATAATAAGATCAAAGAGCTTTGTTAAGTACAATGTCAATGAATGGCGCGGTCGCGTGTCTGGATGACAACTAAAGAGTTGGTGGACCGTTAAAGACCAAGAACGTGAGTATTTTTTCTCAAATCTGAGTTTCTAACTACTATAAAAGGGAAAGGAAGATCTGCAAAAAACAAGAACCTTTGTTTGATACCGTGGGGGTTTATTCTCTATTTTTTAAATTCTTCAAAGTTCTAAAATGGTAAGAAAAGCTATTATTGCCATATTTAGTTATAATTAATATAATCCGAAAAGCAGGGGCTTGTAAGATTGATAAGTAATGCTTGTTAGTAGTTCATATCTCTTGTTATCTGTTTACTCATTTTCTATCATCCATCTCTGACAGAAAATGAATTTTTTATGTGAAGCTTCATCTAGAATTGTTTTCTGCTCAAATTAACATTTTTATTTATTCCTTTTTGCTTTCAAATTTAAATATTAATAAATTTTAATGAATTTTTAGATAAAGAACGGCTTTAGAAATTGTAGGTGAAACAACTGATTATTCTTTGACTTCTTTCAGAGTTGTTCGGATTAACTTGTGGTACCCTAGTTTATTGGCAGTTGTTTAAAGCATATGGTTCTTCAGATCTAATACTCTCATTGCTTTGAATGATAATCAGTTTTATGCTTTTACACGTTTCAACGTTTCTGACTGACTGACTGTTTTGCATTTTGTTTTTTTTTCTTGCATTCAACTTTAAATTAAGTGAATGGAAATGAGTATTGTTATGGTTAATTCTTTGATGTAAATCTGACATTGCCTCTGCTATACTTGATTTCTTTTCCTGAATTTGAAGCATAAAATTATAATGGTTAGAACCCTTTTACTATGTTAGGAAATTTTGCATTCTGGCGTTGTATAAGTGATCAGTACGTTCATTTGTCACTGGAAGGTAACGGGGGTTAGACTCCTGACTGAGACAGAATTGATTTTTCACGTTTTTTGCTTCGCAAAACCAACACTATCTTTACAATGGCACCTAAATTCAAAATGTAGCTGACGACTGTTCGTGACTCTGCGCATTTCATTTAATTTTCGCATCTCGGCGTGTGCTTTCATGGCTAACATACCCAGTGGCTAACATAGGCGGCTATTACATTTAGTTAGAATTGGAGATTCATGCTTTCAATCTTGGGGAGGATACAATTAACTTTTCACATTTTCTATTTCGAAAAAACGAAAGGTCTCTACAACTTTACTTAGAATGTAAAGTCTTAGATCATTTTAGCGCATCTTGGTAAATTGTTTGAACACGCAAGATTCTAAAAAAGCTCATCTTTAATATTTGAATTTGAAGCCCTAAAAATAACAAACGTGAAAAAGGCTCATTGTTAGGCGGTTAGTGAAATGATTACTTTTAACCTGTTACATAATGCAGCTTGCTTCAAAATGACTGACGAATAAGCAATTGTTGAGCAATACCTTTCAGATCGATGGTTTCAGGTTAAGAAATAAATTAACAAAGTAGACCTCAATCTCATGACGATATTTACCATGTGAAAATTTTTAATAAAAATATTATGATTTAAATTAAAATTTTAAAGTTAAATGTTTATGAATTCCATAGACTAAGATAGCAAATGCTTCCCATAGCGAAACTGAGTGAGAATATATACGAAATAAATTATCTCATATAACATAAGTTAAATTTTGGAGGACTATAGTGTAGAATATTTGACACACGCATGTTTAGTCTTCGATTGCAAATATTAAGATACCTTATATGCCAGACAAACATGAATACAAAGCGATGGGTTTAAACTTACTATTTTGCAGTTTTGTTCCTAATTTATTTATGTAATGCATCAGTTAAGTTCTTTTATAACCTTTAATATCAACGAAATCGAATCACATGTCTTGTAATATTTACATGTTTTCAAAATTAATTTTCTGTTATGGTTTATTCTAATTTATCTTTCTCTATCAATAGTTAATAATTGGAACTTTTCCTTGAATATCGCATGCAAAAATTTAAATTCGCGTATTTTCTCTAAAAGGTATGCCACTACATTTGTCATTGTTTGAAAGTTCATCTTTATTTGATTAATATCTTAAACTGTAGTCACGGATCTGCGCAAAATATTAAGAATTTATTTATTTATACCATCTTGAAACATCATGCGCATGGTATTAAGAATCTTTTTCATTTATTTCTGCATTGATGTAAATGTTTACAAAAATGTTAGATATGTTTTAAATTATCAAATAACTGTGTTATTAAAAATAAAATTAAATTAAACAAAAGAGTACATAATACCTTATTATTACTCTGAAATCTTATTACTCTGAACAATGCATTATTATAATACTACAGCTGTTAAAATGGGTAGTCTCCGCGGCACAGTTGATGAATAATTCTGTGGTAATGGTGCGTAACATGACATGAAAAATGGAAGTTTACAGACTTTTCTGATGGTAATAATACATGAATTAAAATTTCGCCTTCTACACAACTAAAATTAGTCTTGTGAGCTATAAAGTATTTCATGATAGTTCCTTATCAAAGAATCAGTGTTTCTGGAATAATGTGTATTTATATGAAGAAAGGTATTTAAAATCTAGCCTTTAATTTTGTTTCATAAGACTTAAATATGCTATTTCATACTATTTTTAGAGGCTCTCAGTGGTTTTCTTTGTTATGATGTGCATTGTGCTGTTATGCACGTTTACCGAAGCTGAAAATGGAGCCAGCGTAGAAGCACGTCATCATCACCATCACCATGGACATCACCACGGTCATCACCATGGGCATCATCATGGACATCATCATCATCACGGGCACCATCATCATCATGGTCATCACCACCATCATCACCACGGGCATCATCATCATCATGGTCACCACCACCATCATGGACATCATCATGGACATCATCATCATCATGGCCATCATCACCATCACGGACATCACCATGGTCACCACCATCATCATGGACATCATCACTAATACTGATTGTTTTGTACCTTTTCTAGAAAACTACTTGAAAAATAAAGTTAATATTATGTATGATGTAGTTTGTTACTCGGTAATACATCTGACCTGATAAATAGGAATAAATTGTAGAAAATATTAATTCTGAAATGCAATACCTAATCTGTTCATCCGAAATAAAAACAATAAATTTCTGATTTGAATTTTATGGCTAGGAAAAACGAATTCCGATAATTCCTTGCCTAAAACAAAAATGGTCATCCAACTCTTATTTCCAATTTTTTCTGTAAACAATATATACACTGCTGGCCATAAAAATTGCAACATCAGGAAGGAATGATCTGCGAACGTCAAAATCGCATGAAAGGAAGAAGTTGCGATATGCAAATTATTAGTATTTCAGCGCATTTAGACGACGTAGGAGGGAGAAAAGACATCTAGAGCACTGCATAAAAGAAAAGTAATGTAGTGGATTTCTCATTCGGAACGTGTTTTGTAAAGTTGGAGCTTGCTCAGAATATAGTGTTATGCCTCGAATAAGAAGCGAAAATGCTTAGCAACAAGTTTCGAAATTCGAAAGAGGCAGGATCGTTGCCGATCGAAAGTGTAGATTATCGTTCCGTGATATCGCCGGTCGCACTGGTCGACATCCAACCACTTTCATGCGAATATGAAATTAGTGGATTGCCTAGAGTCATACTGGACGGCACACATGATTTCAACGCCATCTCATGACTAACGCCAGAAAGGACAGACATGTTGTGAGGTCAGCCCTGCAAAACCGTGCAAGGTGAACTGCAGCGTGAACTATCAGCAAGGTGACCATTACTTCGGCTTCTCTTGACAAGGCAGCACAGAGAGAGAAGGTGACTCTGGTGCGGCAAACGACAAAGCTGGGTGCAGGAATGGCGCAATGTCGCCTTTTCAAACGGGTCCCGGTTCTACGTACAGTATTCTGATGGCCGTATACGTGTCTGAAGTGTCCGAGGACACCGCACGTCGCCTGATTGCATTCGATATCAGCATAGGCGTCCTGCACATGGTATGATGTTTGGTCAGCTACTGGGTACACGACACGCTCATCTCTAGTTCAGATCGACGGTAATTTGAACGGAGATGGGTACATTTCTGACATCTTATGTCTAGTGGTTGTGCCTTACCTTCGAGGCCTCCAAACGCCATGTTACAACAAGATAATGCAAGATCACGTGTTGTGCGTCGTTTTCTGACTTTCCTCGATACTTGGTATTTGATTGCTGCCCTAGATGATTGCACGGTCTCCAGATCTGTTCACCTATATAAAACATCTGGTCATGGGTTGCTAAGAGACTGGCCTGCCACCCTCTCCTGCTAATACGGTTGATGAAGTGTAGCATAGACATGAAGCAGCATGGAATGAGTGGCCTATTTCTGTCATCCAAGCCCAGTTTGACCAGCCTAATGGGGTATGGGCCGTTTTAGCTGTCAGGGGTGACAGCTGTTTTTGCTAATTTCGCACCTGTGTGAAACTTCAAAATGCTTACAAATTTAATCATTTTGTCCTTAAGTCATATTGTTTACGTGCAATAAATATCTTTTTTTTTATTTACTTTCCTTCATAAATTTTATTTTAATGGTGCAATTTTAATAGCCAGCGGTGTATATGTGAAGCTATTAATCTAGAAATACGGCCATGGTAAAAAAATAGCTGCTCTAGGAATAATTTAAAAAGAATAATCAAAAATAGAGTTTTTGATTTGCAGTGACGAAATTCATCAGAATTAAGCTTCATTCTGAAGAAATTTAGAATTTAAAATTTCGTAAAATCTTCAAAACAGCGCTACATCGCCGAATTCGTGTATTTTCAGTCTCCTCTTGTCAGCCTAATTTTTTTTTTCTTTACGAAATAAGATGGCCGCTCAGGAAATTATCTCATTCTGCAATTATTGCTATAATAGCTGTTTGAAAAATCATGTATTATTTGAAAAATTTGAATATATTTTCCCTTCCTTTGTCCTTTTGAAAATGATTTAACTTGTTTTACGGTCTAACTTATTTACTTAAAACTTTTAACTTCGATTTTAGACTTACTTGGGTATTTAATGCTTTACAAAATTAATTACCTAGCAGTAGACGTCAAAGCAACTTAATTTAGAGAATTTTTGGAATGAAGATGAAATTATATATGCTTTTATATGCATTCAGTTAATCTCACGACCTTTTTCACAGTTGAAGTTTTGCAAATTTTGATAAGATCCTAATTTTTCTTATTTCAAGTTTTGAAATCAGAATCAAAAAGACACTATAGTTCACTGGAATAAGTAATTCGCTATTTTTATGCCATGTTAAGTTCGTTATTTAAAAGTGCCCTTTGACTTGTTAGTTTGTTAAGCACGAACATTAATGTAACACCAGTAATACACTATTATAAAGTAAAGTTTTCGCACGTAGTTTTTCAGCATTTAATACTGTGCCAGAAAAAACTAATTAAATAACTCTAATATTATGCCAGATAACAATACTAGTTCACTGTCCGTATAATTTACGTAAGATTTTAAAACCGTGAAACCTTTTTCTAACAATTTTCAATAATCAAGAAGCGTTCAGAACGTACCCGGCAACTATTAGGTGCTTTAAAATACAAAGAATATTTTTTTTATTTTTTAGAAGAATAAGTATTTAGAAAGCTTTGAAACTGTACTAAATCTTAAAACCATAAATATTGCAGATAACAACCTCTAAGACTAGCAAGTAAAAAGATCCCGACTTCTCATTCATGATTAGCAACATTAGCTTGTTCGTACTTAATTTTAAGCTGCATTTAAGAGAAAAAAAAAAATGTTTGTAGGATGTATTGGCGGTTGCAGAACGAAGGCTTGTTTGTATCACATAGATATACAGAAAGCGAATTTGGCGGAAGCGGATTTGCCGAACGCGATTTCGCATATATGCATTGTTTCCATTTAATTTGTTCAACTCTAGAATTTCATTCATAATGCATTTTAACGTTTATTCATCATCACTGAATGCTTGATGCCATCAGCTTGGTTCAGAAGTTATCAACAGTTTTAAAGGATTTCTATTGAAAATGAAGAAATCGTGCATATGGCAAAAGTATTCGGTGGCGAAGGATTTTCAAAGACGGAAGAAGCAGTCAAAGAATTAATCGAGAAATGACAAATGAAGAAGTGAATAATCTTACAATAGTAGAGAAAATGAAAGTAGAGATCATGAAGAAGAAGAAGATATAGCGTCTTTAACATACCAGAAGTTAAACGAATTGCTGAGAAAAGCAGAGGGACTGTCTGATTTTCCAATGGAGATTGATGCAAATGAAGAAGAAGAGGATTCCTTGTGAAAAGTATAAAAAACTCGGCCTTCCTTACTGCAAAACTTTTTAAAAAATTGTGTCAATCATAGTCCAAAGCAAAAATCGTCAGTATTTTAAAAAATTGAATTACTCAAATATTAAGTGGTAATAAAAAATCCTTTATATAACCACTTCTTTTCTACTTCTCGCAGGCCCATCTGCATAAGAAAGGTAATGCTTCCGTTCCAAAAATTCGATAGTGAGTTTTCAGCAAATAAGCGTGAGTTGGGGTTCCCACAACACGTTTTTACTATTTTCGCAATAATGTCTGTCTGTTTGTATGTGTGTGACTATTTTGTCATCCACAATAACACTTATATCAAACTCCCCAAAATTCATATTTTTTGTATTTAAAGTTTCCTTTGATATAAAGAACTGATTAAATTTGGGTAAATTTGGACAACCGGAAGTCTTACATTACTTGAAGCCCATAACAGTTTTTAATGGACAACAAGAAGTGGCATCTAATTTGAAACAGATAGTACTTTGTAATGAAAAATTAGAACTAATTTACCAATAGGAACAATATATATAGAGAGATTTTGGCTAAACTTCATAAACTGGAAGTGATACTATGCTTGAAACATTGAACAGATATTTCTGAAAATATATATCAAAATACAATCCAAAACTTCTCAAATTTCGTGTTCAAAACTCGTATATGCATATAGCGATGCATGTACAAACATGATTGAGAATAATATTTGGATTACATATGATAAACCAAAAGTGGTACTTTTCTTGGAACTGCTGTTCTTGGAGGTGGAAATATATTTATATAAATATTATTTATATGATATTTATTTACATCGATATTATTTATATGTTATTTAGAAGAGAATGATTTTCAAAACAGTGTTTCATTTGCAGAATTTCAAACCTCTTGTAATGCAGGCATGCTACGAAACAATGCACTTGCTGCGAAAAATTGCTGTTGCAGTATTGATGATTACGTAGATCAAGAACTAATAACAAATTTGAAAACATACACTGCTTTACTTCTTATTAAATCCTGGAAAGTACGACAGCTGATGCTGCCTGCCATGCGGATAAGCTGGGGCTCAAATCCCGGAAAAGCATCGATATTTGTAAATGTGTATAATGTCTGTATAAAGGAAAGCTCAACTTGCACGGTGAGCCGAAAGTCCCCTCAAGAGTTTGGCACATGGAGCTAGGAAGTAGTCCTTTGTTACCTCTATGGTTTGGCAATAAGGGGTGGGAGACACTTGGACTGCTCCTCCTCCGGATGTTCTCGTTCAATATTCAAAGGAAAATGCAGATTTAGTGCTGCGAGACTATACTTATATGATCAATCGTGACTTCTTGGTGTCCAAAAATTCCAAAAACCTGTAATTCCAAAAACTCACGAGTATTGTTTAGTAATCCTTAAGTATCGCGGATCGAAATGAATTTAGTTTTGTTGATGTTGACAAATAACACAGTACAGCATTAAATTATAATACTTGTTTCAAAGCATTTATTTTAAATATATTATAAACACTTAATTTTCTTAAATTAGAAACCAATTAAATTCTGTACTATTCAAACGCTCAATCAAAAACAATTTTTAATGAAAAAAATAAGGCGCCGAACAAAACCGGTTTTTACACATGGCCAATTATCAAATAAAATATAATCCAAAATTCCGTATTACATTCTATTTATTGGAGCAACAAATTACATTTTGTTTGCAAGCGATCAATCGGAAGTGATATTTAAGTTAAAGGTCGTTGATATTAAAAGCATGGAAATGGCTGGAGTTCATGTGCAGGGCACATCAGTTCTTTCCTTTTTTTTTCATTACAACAACATTCATGTTTGTTTAAATTACATGTACTTTAATCTGAATTATACTTTGTACATACATTAGATTATTTCAAAGCAGGAGTCATGAAAAACGAGCAATGCTCTCACCAGGACTCGAACCACGGACCTCTCGAATATGCGTCGAGCGTGCTGACCACTACACCACGAAGGCAGGCTAAGAAGGTGGGAGAAATACGTTATGTACTCTCCCTTTTAAAGGGCGACTGGGGATTAGGCGACCCAATCGCCAAATCCTGGTAGTGGAGAATCATCATCCATCATCTTTTTTAGTTCGGGCGCCACTGTAGAGTCATTAGGATTTTTATGAAGCAGGAGAGATGAAAAACGAGCAATGCCTTCGCCTGGACTTGAACCACGGAATTCTCGAATACGCGTCGAGCGTGCTGACCACTACACCACGAATGCATGCTAAAGAGGCGGGAGAAATACCTTATATCTTAACAAATTTTTTCTATAGAACGTTAACTTTATGGAACGCTATTTTGCCAAAAGCGCAGCGTATTAATGACGTAACCACCGCTTTCCGCAGGGGTTTACTGTATGTTACTTATCAAATTACTGGTAAAAAATATATCTTTACTAGTAAAATGTTTAGGCAGTTTTAGCGATATATAGGTACAGATATTGGTACACCAGTTTACTGGTATTAGAATTTTCAAAGAAAGCCATTTAAAGAAAAATAATGCAGATATAAACTTAAACGCAACTTTCTTTAAAGAGAATTTTGTGCAAAAGAATGAAATGACATATACCTCTGCTAATACAGAGAAAGAATCTTCTAATTTGTCTCTTAGTTAATTCTTTAGGTGATTGATCTTTACTCATTTCTTTGCAAAATATTACATACCTTCGTAATACGGAATCAATACGTAAATAATATAAGTTTGCATTCCACAGTAGAATGTGAACATGAGGAAAAAAAAATGCGATAAATTTTTCCTTCCTTTGCAAAAATTTTTTCTTATTCATTTCTTTGCAAAAAATTACCTATCTGCATAATAAAGAATCAATGCATAAGTAGAATCAATACATGAGCAACATAAGTTAGCATTCCACAGTAGAATGTGAACGTGAGAAAAGAAAAAAAGTGCGATAAATATTTTCTTTCTTCGGAAACTGCAATTTTCCGAAGTAATTTATGGAAAAAATCTCTATTAAATACGTCATGAAAACGGAGGTGTGAATATTTATGATGTATGATGTGTATGATTTTTTCAAACGATTTAAATGGCGTTTTTACATACTGTCTTCATTTTGAGCATATAATACGAGTATAATATAAAATGTCATTATTTCCAATAAATCTTTTCAAACATATGGCTAGCTTAAGTAAAGAATCTTGACCGTTAATAGCCATTAGTTAGAGACTTTAGGATCCGAACAAGTATTTTTTTTATTTGCCTATTAATTAAGAATCAAAATTCATACTTTTAATGAGAGTCATTATGCTTACGTTCTATATGTACTGTTACTGGTATGCTCTCAAATGTGCTGTTGTTGCTATAGGTGGCCCTAGAGATGTGTTCGAACACGAATCCCGAAAAGGTCTGTGGTTGTCCATTCCTCCTTCTAAATGGGTGTATTGCTCTACCCCTTCCAATGCACCTTGAGCAAATTTTCAGATATAATACAGCTAAAATGACAGATGAATTCCGTTATTCCCAACCTGCCAACAGTCAAGTATTTCCTTAATTGTTTAAATTCTTTGTTTTTTTTTAATAATATTTGCCTAAACAAGCTATGGATTAGCTTATTCGTTTTGTATTTGAATTAACATTACTATACGGACCAAAATGTAAGACAATCTCCATGACCTCTGGCGTTTTTTGAAGCTATTTCAGAAAGGAAAGGAAAAATATTGCCTATCTGCAGAACTCTTCGGTTTAGTCTTTATTGCGTATTGAAAGAATTATTTTGCCTCAAATTTTAAAGTGTTATCATATTCTTTATATAGGGAGCTACTTTTAATTAAGAAATGAATAGCTGGCGAAATTTTATGGCTGTTTAGAGAAAGTGTCACATTTCCGGCTGGAAAGGGGGTCACTTGTATTTTTTTAGGTACCGTTCCTTGTATCTGGAGGTTTAGTTTTTCTGTATGCATTACGTTTTTTTTGGAAGGGGGTGTATCTCAAAATTTTCGAAAATGTTAAATAATAGTCGATGAGGCTGACTGAAACTTTCGGCTCTTCGGAATGTGTATTTTGACAATTCTGGCCTATGCCTTATATGTTTTTTCAATAATAATAATTTAATGGAAATCACTATGCTAATAATTAATCAATTCTAATATTTTAGCAAAGTGAAATATTAATTACATTTTAAAGATATGCATGTGTCTCTTTTAACCTTTTACGCAGCATTAATATAGGTTCCTTTTTTCATCCAACCGGTATAGTGGTTAGTAACACTAAGTGCCATACAGTTGGGTCTGGGTTCGAATTCTGGATAAGGCATGGATATTTGCAAGCATACAGTGTCTGTGCGGCAAGAGGGAACCCAAAATACATGACATGTTGAATGCTGTCTCGAGAGGTTGATGGTAAGGGAAGAGGGGTGAGGGGATTCTCGGACGGCCTCCCGATATGTTCTCCCTCAATACTAGGACGGAACTGCACAGTTAGTGCGGCAGGACTGTACCTGAACGATCAATGGTGAATGTCTCGTATCCCGCCCACCTGCACCTGTACCTGTAAGGTCCTTTTGATTTCTGATAATACACAGGGTTGGTTATAAAACAACTTCACCGATATATGAACCTCTAGCCGCTAATCCGCTGAATTAATCGAAATGAAATTTCAGATATTGTTATTTGAAGGTATTGTGATGATTTAAAACAAATGAGCTCTCACGGTTACTGTTACAGTGAAACATTTTCGAAATTTTCGAATGGCAACACCCACTTTTTGTCCTGCGCAAATTTACCAGCGTACTGAAAAACCATCGCTGGTAAATTTGCATAAATGGCATAAATGGTGTTTGAACGATACACGTATGACGAAAATTGCTGGAGTAAAACATTTAAAAAAAAAGCGAGCATTGTAAACGACAAATGACGACAAAACAGAGGAGAGGGAAAATCTTTTTATTGGAACTACAAGTTTTGGGTTGTCCACCTTGGCAGATGATGACGTATTGCCTACGGGAGATTGTTTATAACGATGACGAACGCAGCATCTCAGGAGAAATCTGTACATTTTTACGTTTTATGGCATTTTCCTTATTCTGGCAAACCTTGACGATTTGATGCGTCCACTTTAGATTTCTGATAACCCCAGACCACGTTTTGGGTATCTGTCCATGAATTTACAAAGTGTGATAGTTTTATGATAACTCACTGATATATTTTAATATAAATATAGAAGGTATTAAATAGGGATGCAAACGATTTGCTTCTCCAACATTTAAGGCTGAATGCAATGAAGAAACTACTCAAATGGACAGCCCATTCTGCCGTCATGATTGAAATGTGAAATGCAATTAACTTTATGTCGGGCATTAAACCGTTGATACTGGCCAGTACTCCATGGTTCTGTTTGTTAGTACGTAAAATGATAAGAATTGCAATTACATGTATAGGATGCGCACGTGAGAAAATTACAGTAATTTATGGCAAACTATTCTGTTAGCTAAAATACTTATCATATTGATCAAATCATCAATATGATCAGTGTGATCATTTTAGCTAATGCGCATAATCAACTAAAATGTTGATCACATAAATATGATCAGCATTTGGTATGAAGGCATATCAATATAATTATTTACAAATGGCCTTTAAAAATACATATTCCCAACCTTGAATAATCTATTTGTAATAATAGATCAGAACTTTTAGCCTTATGGGATGAACGACTGATATCCATTGAAAATAATCCATTATCTATGGAATTAACTATGTCTAATGGATTATGTCTCCCAGAAGATAAAATGTTCTTTTAGAGCTTCGAACTACTTTTAATAATAATAATAATAAAGCTTGCTGGAATTTTGCATTCCTCAAATGGAAAGAAATATTTTTATATGAACTGTCGCTATGTTAAAATGATGTTAAATTAGAATATGAATGTGATAAAAAGCAAAGAACGATTATTATATCCAATGAATCTACGAATTTACAGAAGCAACAACATTTAAAATTAGTCAGTGGTAACGGACACATTCAAGTTAAATTAAAATTATAATTTCTTTTCTTTTATCTTAAAAGGTACCTAAATTCATACAAACTTAAGGATAAACATATGTTTTTTAAATGACATGTAAGATTTTATTAATTAGAATAGAAAAAGACAATTGTGTCAAATGATTTCGTTTTGTTACTTTTAGCCGCTACTTTGAACTGATTACTATTGTATATACCTACTTCTTTTTAAATCTTTTTTTATACGTTTATAGTAGTATTTGAATTTTGTATAAGATAAGCATCACGGTGTGCGTTGGAGACCGAGGATATATCAAATGAAAAATTCGTAACAAGTCACATTGTGAACGCTGCCGGTAATTACGAACATAGAAAAAGTTCTGTGGTCCATTCTTCGTTCTGCATCATCGAAAGTCTTTCTACCGTGCCTCTGAAAATGGCATAAGATCAAATGTAGCACAACTTCTGATGAGGGTAAGGTCGCGTATATCGCAGTTCGTATAAAAGATAGAATCGAATAATTAGTGAACCGTTAAGGTCCAAGTACGTCAGCACCTTTTTTCCAAAATTCATTTTATGGTTACTATAAAAGTCAGCTGAGAATTCACAGAAGTCAGAATATTCATTCTTATCTTTCGACTACCTTTTAAGTGAACAGGAAACGGTCGATATGGTAAGATAATTTGGTATTGAATATTACGTCACTGAGATTAGAATAAGAGTAGCCATTAACCTTCAGAAGAACAATTCTGAAACTGAAAACGTTTATTCTTATATCAAAATAATAATTTAACGGTTTTGATTATATTACGATGATGTACTCAGAATAATATATATCTAAGGTAAAAAGATATCCAGCTTTCATTCGGTTAATTAATTAGAAAAAAGATTTTGCTATTTCATTCTGTTAATTACGGAATGAAAGTATATAAACGCCTAATTTTAGAAAGAAAAAAAATCTATCATGAATCATAACATCTTCAGCTATAAGTAAAGTTGCTTTTGTCCTAAGTAATTTGTCGAATAAACTAAATCATATAAAACAGTGTAATTCATTTCCGTTCATCATGTTATATTGAGAATCTTGATCTGCCATTATAATATTTCTTACGAGGCCGCAAAAATTTTAAAATAAAGGACACATTCCCCCCAAAAAATTAAGTCATGTCTAATAAATCTACTAACTTATCATATAAAAGTTCATGAATAAAAATTTTTGAATTTTTTTATGATAGATTCAGTTCTAATGAATATCGAAATCAAAATAAAATATCAAATATTTTGATGTATAATAACAGTTTTACATTACCGAAAAGTTTATTGCAAATCTCTTAAGATTTTGGAAATATAGAATGTTTAAAAATTTCAAAAATTTAAGATTTTAGGTTTACAGTCTTGAATTTTGAATATATGTGTATAGTTTTAGACGGAAGCGCCGGAAAAATCATGGTTTGTATCCTATTACATTTTTAAATGAGAAATTTCGGGCTGAACTCCACTAAAAGAAATTGGGATAGTATCTGATGCATTAGAAAGTAATCCATAATATTGATTTTTTTTTTTGTAAAACCTCAACGAATGAAATCTTTCTTGTTCCATATTTCGCTTTTGTACTATCCATATTCCCTCTTGAATTCTTCAAGCTATCGTATAAATGTTTTCCATGACATATATTTTTCGATAATAATAATCTGAAATACGTTATTGGTTAAGCATCCAAAAGGCTAAACAATGAACTACTAGAGTTTGAATTCGCAGATCGTTAGGAGTTGTTATTTGGTTCTGTTCTCGGCAACCGAATTGGAGCCCAGAATGTTTCTTTTCCTGATTTGCAGCTTGTGTAAAATAAACGCCACGTTCTTTAGAACGTTTTCCATACAAGTAATTTCCATCCCTTAAGTTTCTATCATTCCTATGCTTTTCCGTAATCATCAGACCAAACAATTTTTCTTTCAGCAGTCAAATAGATAGAGCCGTTTATACTGAAAGTTTTGCTGATATTAAGGACTATACTGGAAGCTTTGATAATTTAATGTTCTATACGAGAAATTCCTTTCCTATATAATATTAAAAGGAAAAAGGCTATTTGAATATTAGATATTTAGAAATTTAGAAATTTGCTCCAATAAAATACGTAAGGGAAAATAATTTTCCGCTCAATTTTTTAAAGGAATGCTCATTTTCTCTATTTTATGTTTAGTTTATAACATAAGCTTTTTTTGTATGTAGAGATTTTTGGTGCTTCTCTTAGTAAGTGTGTGCATTGTATTATTATGCACCTATACCTACGCTGAAAGTAAAATGGATATAGAAGCACGTCACCACCATCATCATGGGCATCATCATGGGCATCATCATGGACATCATCATGGACATCACCATCACCATGGGCATCATCACCATCATGGTCACCACCATCACCATGGGCATCATCACCATCATGGACATCATCATCATCACGGCCATCATCATCATCATGGACATCATCATCACCATGGTCATCACCACCATCATGGCCACCACCATGGTCACCATCATCATCATGGACATCATCACGGACATCATCACGGACATCACCATGGACATCACCATGGACATCACCACTAAAGAAAGATCTCATATTATCAATCGCACATATAAGAAATACAGATAATTTTTTTGGAAGACAGCCATGTGTATTTATTTTATAAAGATTCTTGAAAATAAAATAACTGTTTTTGAATATTTTGCCTCGTATAATTTTTAATGCAGAATATATCTCTAGAAAACAGGAGTAATATTATAGGAAATTAAATAATTGCTTTTCATTTTATACTGTTCATTTCAAGTCTGGTACAAATTTAGCTGCAGCAAAACAACTTTGAATAATCGCATAAGCAATGAAATGAATGATGTTAGTTTTAAATCTAATAAAACGGCCCAATTAGCCATCAAAATACACACACACACACATATAAATGACAGCGAAAATTTAAATTAAAAGCATATTAAGCTGGAATAAAAAGTTGAAAATAATTAAACGAATTATTTCGCAGAAACAATAAACTATTATAAAAAACAGTAAAAGTAAATCTCGTACGAGTAGCTTTTAAAATATTAGATCTCAAAATCTTAGCTCCTCAATGTTAATTGAATTTGGCAAATATTTATTAATATCTCTTTTTTTATTAAACTTTTTTTATTTTCCTTTTCACATTTCGAAATTTAGGTTCATTCCAAATAAAATTTACCCATTTCTTGTGTTTTATTTTTAAAATTTGTATTTTTAAATAATTAAAAAAAAATTTTCGAAAAACATTTTGAATTATAACCTATAAAATTTTTACCGTCATCTTAAAGTAGGTGTACCTAAGCACACCTGCAAAAAATTAGACTTCTTTATTCAAAATTTTCTAAGATGAATTTACATATTTTCGCGTTTTGAAATTTGGAATCTTTTTTTTGAGCGATAATAACGCCAAATGTGGTTTATGGACTTTTGTTAACAATGAATTGCCACAACTACTTTTAACCTTAAATTTCAAATAAATTTTTGCGGAGAATTAATTATATGAAATTTTTTCCCTCAATGATGCGTAATAAATATTTATTAATACTATGTGAAAAATTATTATTTTTTAAATTATAGATGACATTATTCAAATTTTTACCTTTTTTTTTTTAAAACTTCTCTCTTTCTTCCTTAAAAAAAAAAAAAAAAAAAAAAAAAAAAAAAAAAATTGTAAGAGTAAATTTTTATCTTCGGCGTTTTATCGTCTGCTACTTTACTTTAACTTCGTTTAAATCGAATTATCTAAAACTGAGAACTTTCGTTTGATGTTTATTTGAATTTTTTTGAAAATATTTTATGACATTAACTGCATAATTTATTTCTAAGCAAGCTGTTGCTTATGAAGTGGCTGAAAGAGCGGCTGATATTATCATCCATATTTTTAAAGCACAGTATATTTTTATAGTAACATAAGATTTAGAAGAATCATTTTTATAAAAGTCAAATTATGATATAAACATACAACCCTCTAGAGGCCGAATTAATGGAAGTTCAATGGTTATCTAGAAATGATCTGCAGCTACTTGATGGCTAGATAAGTCAGAAGGTTCTATGGACAAGTAAGAATAATTATATAAACGAAACCTAACATTCTAGATTCAATTACCAACGAGGGTACGATGTTTATTAAATGAATTTAAGAAGTTTTTAAACATAAAAAATCGACTCATTTTTTTATCTTAAAATGTATTTTTCTGCGTAACGTATTTTCATTATATCCTTAAAATTCTAATTTAGAATGTAATTGTCAAGAACTGAATTCTAATCATCAGTAATATAATAAGTAATTATTACGGTTATTAATAAATCCTTATAAAGTAACTGCAAATATTTCAAAAACTTTCTGTCTGAATACAAATATTTTTCTATGCAAATATTTCTAGTTTTATATTGATCAAGATTGCAGAAGGTATTATTTATTTGCACTTCAGTTCTTACCGTCAGCTCTAGTAGAAGTTACAAATCAATTATATTTAATTAAGGAATGACCATCTAAGTTTAGAAACAGCGTACTCTAACAGCAGTTCAATTATTGGCGCCGTATCTTTCATGTTACTCCCATTGGCTGATTTTTAATGAGTATTCAAGTTTTGCTAGTAACTTCACTTGGAAATCGCGCTTAAACTAGGTTAGTTGGTTATTTGAACATAAAAAGAACATGGGAGCTATTTGGTTAAGATGCTTTCATAGAGGACCTTTGTAAAGAGAACCTAGAAAACTACGAAAACCAACTATGCAAGCCTTGGTTAGACTTCGCAACAAACAATTAGTATTTAACAATCTTCAAATACTAGGCAACTGGTGAAGCTCCAATTAAATCTCCAACTTAATATTTTATTTGTAAATATTTAAAATATTGTTGTATTTTTAGAGACAAGCAGAATTTAAGTTTTGTTAACTCGTTAGTAAACTACCAAGCCGTAGTGAAAATGAACTTTCAATCTTTTTTGCGTGTGTGTGTGTCATTATGGCAAAGCCTCGAGGGCTATCTGCCTAAGGGGAGGGATGCCTTCGCGGAGGACTTTCTAAGGAAAACTGGCTCGTATACACGTCACACATGGGGATAACCACGAAAACGCCCATGCAGCCAGCCCGTTCGCGGGATTCGAACCTCGGACCGAACTACCAGTGTTCAGCGACTTTACCGCTCGGCCGCTGATGGGCACAATCTCTTTTGCAATAATTGTATTCACCTAATATTCTTGGAGTACGAGCTAAAGAAGGAATGTTCTCGGTAGATTAAAGAAGTATTTAAATCCAGTGATATTAGGTTTGTCTTACAAGCTAAGGTATCAATACGATTCTGCAATTGCCCGAGTAGTTGACTTGTAAATGGCTGCGAATTAAGCAGATGACTTTTAATCTTACGTTATTCAGTCAGAAAACGTAATCCAAATGCTTTGTATTGCATGACAATGCATCTTTTCATTATTCAATAACCAATCGGAGAATCGCTTGTGTTCCGAAAATAAGTATGCGTACTCAATCGTCCTGCATGTTCTGCAAATTTGTCTTCTCGTGATTTTTTTCTTTCCCGGAAACTAAAGTTCCCTGTCAAAGGAAAGTTTTTTGACATTGAAGAGATAAAAGGAGTATGACATCTACTTTTAGTTAGGCATGTCAAAAACAGATCTCCTACAAGCTCTTCTCTTTAATTACATGTTGTGCATTCAGACAAAAATTTAGCATCAGCGTTAAATTCTATAATATATTTTTACATACACTCTGATTACTTTATTAACAATACAGTCAATATATAGTAAACCTTTTACTTCAGCTTTAGTGAATTCGGAATTTTTGACGGCATTGTTGTCGGAACTAGGATTTAGAAAATAAGTCAAATTGAAATATTTCGATAAACCAATAAATTCAAGGTCGAATTTTCAATATTTTATTTTCGGAGAGAGGGGAAATTTTTTCAGTTTTGGTTCCATTATCCTAAGCATATTTGCTTCGATTCTTTATTCTTTCCATAAAAGCAAAAATCTTACGCATGGTATACATATAACGCATAGCTTCAAATTAAAATTTAATAATATGTAAATAAAACTTTACAAGTTTGACGGTTTGAAAATATATATAAATATAAATTTTTATAATAATCCTCTTAGAAAGAAGGTTTTAAGAAGCTAATTTTTCTCTAGCGTTATAGATTGTATAAAAAACATGATCTTCAGCCGATCTAAGAATCGGGTTACTCGGTGGTACAGAATAAACACTGCTGGACTGTTTTATTTCTTTGTCATTTAGCAAAAAATCTTTTTATTAAAATATTTATCCTTTGGTCTTCGCTTTAAACTTTATTTCTAGTTAAAATGACTAGAAAATGAAAAGCTGTCTTCAGCTGAAACGCAATTTATGTAATTGATATTTTAAAAAAATTGAAAAAGAATGCAAAATTTATGGAATCGAAAAATCTTAATTTTCTTGCGTGAGCAGTAAAAATAACTGTAGAAGGAAAGAAGAAAATTAGGGGGGCGGGAATTAAGCAAAAATTTGAAGGGAAATTTTGGCTGTCAGACAAAATAGATGTTTCAAAAAGTTGGACGCTTTTGAATACACATTCAGGATACTTCAAAGAATATAGGTGTTCAAAGAGGAAACACTTGGACGTGCACACCAGCAAATACCATCAAATCAGCTTGTGGTTAACAGAAAAGACGAAAACGAAATCATTGCAGATTAAAGTGAAAAGCGACTGGTTTTAGACTTTATGGTGGTATAAATTTAAATTACGTTATAGAACATCATATCGTATCATAAACGGAGAATCCCATGATTTCTCAGTCGAATTATTTGAAGATTCAGGAGTTTATCCAGTGATGTATGTGGATGTCACCTAATGAGTCTTTTTCCTCTTGATGAAACAGCGGCCGAGCGACAAAGTCGCTGAACACTGGTAGTTCGGTACGAGGTTCGAATCCTGCGAACGGGCTGCATGTGCGTTTTAGTGGTTTACCCCATGTGCAAGGTGTATACGAACCAGTTTCCCTTAGAAAGTCCTCCACGAAGGCATCCCTTCCCTTAGGCAGATAGCCCTAGTGTGCTTTGCCATAATTAAATAAACCAAAACCTCTTGATGAAACCAGTCTTTTTTTTCCTCATACCTTCAAAATGTCTAGCCTCTAAAAACTGATAAAACCTCTGACCAAACAATGTTCAGCGACTTTACCACTCAGCCGTTTGTGGGTCTTTATGAAATGGAAGGCGATAACTTTATTTAAAATGATTGTCAGAATTATCAAGATGTTTCGAAAAGTTGGATGCTTTTTAATATACTTGCAGAATGCCTGAAGAAAAAGAGAAGAAAAATAAATTTTTGCGTAAAATTTAGTATTTGTATTTTTTTTTTAATCTTATGATATTTGATTCTTGCGATTTCAGAAATAAAATATTTGACTAAAATATGAATAACATTTTAAGAAACCAAATGTAGGATGATAAAATTGTGGAAAGCAATGGGCACAATGATAAAACTGTTTAAAGCAGTGTATGGCATGTCATCCTAAGTTAAAATGTAGGTTATACATCTCTTTTATTTATATATCTTTTCTGA